TGATTTGAAGACACGAGGTATAATGAGGTGAGAAAAATCTGATTTCTGCATTTTACCTACCATTTACTTGATGTTATTTGAGACAGGTGTGTAACATATGATGTTGTATAGTTAGGTGGCTGCTGACTGATGGTGACTCCTGTCTGAACCTGACAAGAGAAGACTGGACCAGACCAGACCTGGTGATTTGAAGGGCCAAGAGGATATAAGGTGAGAAAAATCTGATTTCTGTATTTTACTTGCCATTTACTTGATGTTATTAATGAGACAAGTGTGTAACTTAAGACTGGACAAGACCAGACCTGGGCCAAGACCTGGGCCAAGAGCAAGATGACAGCATCCACAGGTGAGATGATGCTTTACAAATTGAAATTGATCTGGTTCTAACACTCTGCAACTTTCTTCTCTTTTAATTAGGTCTTGCACTTATCTTTACACATTACACACTGAGCACCTCAATAATGTTAGGAAAATGTAATAGTATATTTGTTTACATATGTATAAAACAGAACGCAGAAAATAAATTACCAATACATGTTGAAGAAAGAGAATACAGAAAATGAATATTATAAACAGGGGAAATGTGCCTGGGCTGGAATAGAAGTCATGAGACTTGTTTGATTGGTCACAGGCAAATCTTGTCTTGGTCACTAGACACTTCTTCCCTATTCTTTACTTAGGTGTGTCCTGACGTTCCTGTCCTGACTGGAAACCTGTGATGGCTTTCTGTCAAGATGACAATATGAGAAGACACAGTTTGTACAGGTGAGACAGAGGTTGATAACTTTTGTGTTTGATGAGAACTCTGAAGCAAGACTTTTTAGTGAAAAAATATCATAATTTCCTTAATGGTCATTAAGTGTTTTTTTGCATCACAATAATTATTCTTTTATTACTGTTAAACAGGTCACTTGTCCTGAGGGTCAGCTATCCTGACTGACCTTGGGAGAAACCTGTGATGATTGGCAACTCCAGTCTAAACCAGGCTCAGCAAACCCGTTGACTCAAAGACTCAGCATGAAGTGAAGAATCTGTACAGGTGAGACAATGGTTCACAACTTTTATGAGTTTTTTCTTTCTTCTTGGCTCATGTTAAGAATTCTGAGGCCTGTAACCAGTAACATGTTTAGGGCCCGTTGTCATTCAAATGTGCACAATGCTGTCACCCCACTTTACGACACAATATGAGCTAAATCCTGGACCTCGATCATCACCTATTTCTTCACTTCTACACTATGCTTACTAAATTCCCTAAATAATGCACCACAACACTATGTTTGGCTGTGACCAATCAAACAAGTCTCATGACTTCTATTCCAGCCCAGGCTTTGAAAGAACTATAGCCTCGTGTTTGGAGAGATATGTATTACCTCTGTTACCGCTCAAGTAAGACGGTCGTGAAGTTTAGCTAGACCACATAGAAGACAAGAAATTGCAGTTTTTATATGATGCTTTGAAAGTTTTCCTGCTTTCTAAGGGTAATTAAGATGGGAGTTTTTGTTGTCATTTGTAGTCACCCTTGCTGGAAGCTGAACTATGTTAACACTTCAACTCATTTATGATCATGTATGAGATATGTGTATGTGATATGAGATATGTAACTGTTAATTTCTGTACACATGTAGATAGGTGGCTGCAGACTTATGTGGACATCTCAGTCCATTAACTAGACCAGATGAGGGCTTAAAGCAAACCAGTTGACTTGAAGACGCAGTGAAGTGAAGAATGAGGACTTTGTCTGAACCTGATGGATTGGACTGACCATGTGCCGGGCAGTTGGAGGCCCCATTAGCAGCATCAGGTAAGAAAAGCCCAAATTCTGAATCTTACCTTTTATCATTTGAGACAAGTATGTAACTTCTAAATCTTGTTATATGGTAAGGTGGCTGCTGACTGATGCAGTAGTGATGTCTCCTGTCCATAGCTGTCAACATTTGGATGTTGGGCCAGACCAGCCGATTTGAAGACAAAAGAACAAGATGCAGAATCCACAGGTGAGACAATGTATATGACTTTTAATT